ACGGGTCCACCGGCGACAGCCACGGGCAGATGCCGTGCGTGACGGTCACCCCGCGGTAGCTGTCGTAGCGCGGGCGGACCACGGCGCCGTCCGTCGGCCCGTCGGCCGCGACCCCGCAGAACGGCTTGACCACCGATCCCGCACGCACCTCGTGATCGTATTGCCGGACCAGGCTCTCCTTGGAGGTGATGTTGGGCTCGGCCAGCAGCGCCAGCAGCGCCGCCTCCGGACTCGGCGCGGACCGCTGGCGATCGGCGCTCCACCAGCGCACCTGGGGCGGCGGCTCCCACGCGGAGCGCAGCTGCATTCTCCGGCAGTCGGCACCCATCGTGCAGGAACTCCAGGCTCAGCGACGCGACCAGCTCGCCGCGGGCGCGCACCGTGACCAGCCCGTCATCGGTGAACGAGCCCACGACGGTGAGCTCCACGCCGCGCGCGGCCGCCAGCTTGCGCAGGGCGTCGATCCTGTCAAGCGGCACCGCCAGGCTCATGCGCTCCTGCGACTCCGACAGCAGGATCTCCCACGGCGCCAACCCCGGATACTTCAACGGCGCTGCGTCCAGGTCTATGCTCACGCCGCCCGACTCGCGTGCCATCTCGCCGAGCGACGACGACAGGCCGCCCGCCCCGTTGTCGGTGATACCGTGGAACAGGGTCCGCGTCCCGCGCCTCCAGCAGCAGATCCAGCACGCGCCGCTGCACGATGGGGTCGCCGATCTGAACCGCGGAGGTGGGCGAGCTCTCGTCGAGCGCCAAGGAAGAGAAGGTCGCGCCGTGAATACCGTCCTTGCCGATGCGGCCGCCCACCATGACCGCCAGATCGCCGGGCCGCGCCCGTCCCTGCCAGGCCGGCTCGCCCGCCACCTCGGCCGGCAGCACGCCGCCGGTGCCGCAGAAGACCAGCGGCTTGCCGATGAAGCTCGGATCGAACAGGAACGCGCCGGCCACCACCGGAATCCCGGACTGGTTGCCGCCGTCGACGATGCCGCGGTGGACCCCGGCCAGCATCCGCCGCGGATGCATGAGCTCGGCGGGCACCTCCCCCGCCGGGGTGGACGGCGGCGCGAAACACAGGACATCGGTGTTGAAGATCGGCTTGCCGCCGCGCCCGGTGCCGATGATGTCGCGATTGACGCCGACGATGCCGGTGATCGCCCCCCCGTACGGATCCAGCGCGGAAGGCGCGTTGTGCGTCTCAGCCTTGAAACAGAGCAAAGTCCGCTCATCGAAGCGGATGACGCCCGAATCGTCGCTGAATACCGACTTGAGGAATCCGCTGCCGTCGTCCAGCTCCATGGTCGTGCGGCGGATATAGGTGTCGAACAGCGAAACGATGCGCTCGGTCCGGCCGTCTTCGGTATGGTCGATGACCGCGTTGAAGATCTTGTGCTTGCAATGCTCGGACCAGGTCTGCGCCAGCATTTCCAGCTCCACGTCGGTCAGGGCGGCGCCGATCCCGGCTTGGCACCGCCTCGACCGCACCGCGGGATCGGTGGCGTGGGCGCGAATGGCGGCAAGCTCCGCCGCCGACAGCGCCAGCAGACGCTCTGCCGACAGCCGCTCCAGATCGGCGTCGTCCATCGCCGCCACGTCGATCCGATCGACGCCCGGAGCGCGATCGGTGCCGGCGCTCGGGTAGTGCTCCGGCGGGCGCTCGCCCCGGCCCCATGCCCGAGCGGTGATCGCGGTGACCTGCTGCACCAGCGGGTTGTGCAGCGCCGCGGCCAGGCGTCCGGCCACCTCGGTGGGGGCCGTGCCGGCGAACCGGAACCGGTACTGGCGGGCCGTCTGCAGCGTCGCGGCGTGCGGGAGCGGAGCGGCGATCAGCTCCACCACCTCCCGCAGCGTTCCGCCCGCCGGGTCGTGCACACCCGGCCGGTAAGTCACCTCGATCACCAGATCGGCGACGTCCAGCGGCGTCTCATCGATCGTGATGCGGGCCACGCCGTCGGCGAGGAGCGCCTCGAGCTCCGGGCGCGCGACGCGCACCCCGGCGACGATGTGGACGTCGACGATGCGGATTGCCGCGATCCGGGTGATGCCCTCGGCGGCCAGCGTCGCAGCCAGGGCCGTTGCTCTGCCGTCGGTAATGCCCGGCCGATAGGCGACCGCTATGCGCACGGCGCAGCCTAACACGTCGTGGGCAGCGTCGTTGTCGGAACGCCGATTCGCGTGTAACGTGGATCGAGGTGCAGGACTGCGTCTCTTCCGTTGCGGTTGTCCCCGATCTATCCAGTCGCGATAAATGGGCCGCAATCCACGAGGTGATCAGCCGGTGGCCGGCGCTGAGCGACGTCAATCGTGAAGCTATCGAGCATGCGGTCGTCGCCCGCGAACGCATCCATTCGACGGCGGTCGGGCGCGGCATCGCGCTGTCGCACGGCGAGCTGAAAGGACTGTCGTCGCTGCTGGTGGCGGTCGGCGTCTCCCGGCTCGGCATCGAGTTCGCCGCCATCGATCGCCAGCCGGTGCATCTCCTGTTCGTATTCGCCACGCCGCCGGCGCAGCGCTCGGAATACCTGCAGGTGCTGGCCGCGATCTGCCGCCTGGGGCGGCAGGGCCGCCTGACCGGCCTGTGGGAAAGCGGGGTCGACACGGACACGGTCGAGCGCACGCTGCATCAGGCGTTCGATCCGCTGCGCTGATAGACTTGGCCTGATAGACTTGGACTGAGGCTGCCGTGCTCATCGTGCCCGCCATCGATCTGCTCGACGGCCGCTGCGTGCAGTTGCAGCAGGGGGACTTCGAGCGCTGCGCGCCGCTACGGGGACGACGCCGCGGTGGTCGCCGTGGGCTTCGCGCGGCAGGGAGCGCTCTGGATCCACGTGGTCGACCTGGACGCCGCACGCGGCAGCGGGGCCAATCGCGAGGCGATCGACAGGATCCGGAGAGCCGTCGACGTGCGGATTCAGGTAGGCGGCGGGGTGCGTACCGCCGAGGATGCCGAGGCGCTGCTCGACTTGGGGGTGGACGCCGTCGTGGTGGGCACGACGCTCGCCACCCGCACGGCGGAGGTCCTGTCGTGGGCCGAGCGATGGCCCGGGCGGATGGTCGGCGGCATCGACGCCCGCATGGGGCAGGTGCAGGTCAGGGGCTGGGCGGAGTCCGCGGGCGGGGAGCGCGCGCTGATCGACGCCCCTGCGCGGCTCGCAGCTCGCCGGGCTGGTCTACACGGCGGTCGACCGCGACGGCATGCTGGGGGGGCCCGACCTCGCGGGCGGTAGCGCTGCGGCCGGCTCATCCGGGCTGCCGGTGCTGTTTTCCGGGGGAGTCGGCTCCCAGGCCGACCTCGCGGCAATCGCGGCGACCGATGTCGCGGCCGGCGCGATCGTCGGCACCGCCATCTACGAGCGTCGCGTCGACCTGCGGAGCGCGATCGAGGTGTTGCAGCACCCGAGTGACACCGCCCGGTGGGCGGCGTGACGACCTCCTCAGCCGCAGGCGTACGGCCGCTGGTGGTGATCTCCGGCGGCACCGTGGTCGACCTGCTGGCGATGAACGAACGCGCCTACGTCAAGACGCGCGAGTCGCGATCGCTGTGGGTCACGGATGCCGACGGCTCCCGCGAGTTGCCGTATCGGCCTGCGCCGGGCGGAACGTCGCGGATTGCCGACGTGCGGCGAGGGGATTCCTGGTATGCGGTAGCGCTGGGCGATGAGACCGCGGCGGAGAGTACGGAGCCGACCGAAGCCGCGCCGAACCCTGCGCGCACGACCCCTGCGCGCACGACCGTGGCGCCGCACGCGCTTGACGAACTGGCCGTGACCATCAGGGAGCGCAAGGAGGCCAACCCGGACACCTCGTACACCGGATACCTGTTCGATCAGGGCGTCGACAAGATCAGGAAGAAGGTCGGCGAGGAAGCGATCGAGGTGATCACGGCCGGTTCAGCGGAGGAGCTGATCAGCGAATCGGCCGACCTCCTCTACCACCTGCTTGCGCTGCTGGAAGCGCAGGGCGTTCGCCTCGACCAAGTGTACGCGGAGCTCGAAGCGCCGGCGGCGCTGATCGGCGCGCCCGTCAGGCGAGGATATCCCGCCCCTCCAACCCGAAGCAGGCCGCCGCGTCAAGCATGCGCTGGTCATGACTGTAAACGGCGTCAAACCCGTTGTCCGCGGCGCAGGTCAGATGGAGGGCGTCCGCTGCCCGCACAAACGCACCCTGGGAGACGGTCCTGACTCTGGTGCATGCAGCTCGCACGAGTCCATCGGTGACCGGAATCCATCTCCACAGTCCCTGCTGTTCATCACCGCGCAGACGCTCGAACACACCACGCAGCGCGTCGGAGTCCAGGTTCCCTTCCAGCTCATGTCGCTTCAGCGCCGTGAACAGTTCCAACCGGCCGTGAGAGCAGCAGCTCAATCCCGACTTGCCGGCCAACCACTCGAGCACACACGGGCTGCCCGGTTCGTTGAGATAGCACTTGGCGATGTACGAGGTATCGAGGTAGATCAGCGTTGCGACCGGTCCCTGGAGATCATCTCCGTCGAATCCACGTCCACCGTCGGCATGCTCGCGGGATCGCGGACGGGAAACGGCTGGCCGGCGACATCCTCCTCCGAATAGGGCTTGAGCAATGCGATCCGAGAACCCCGATCCGTGACGACCACCGGTTGCTGCGACGCCTGACGCACGATCCTCCCGGTGCGTTCATGGAGCTCTTTGATCGAGACTGATCTCATCAGCCCACGGTGACACCTCGTGACACCTTCCGTCAAGGTCTGAACACGTGACGTGATGGGAGGCGCCCGCATCCGCACAGCACGGCAGCCGCCGCACACGCGAGCGTCGCGGCCGTACGCCGGGCAAGGTTGCCAGACGCCGGGTGGTCGCCCATCACGGCACCGAGCGCAGCCGCTGCAGGATCGCCGCCACGATCGCGCCCACCGGTTTGCGGGTGGTATCGATGCGGATGCCGAGGCTGCGGTATATCGGCTCGCGCCGCTCGTACAGCGCCCGCAGTTGCGCGGTGGTCAGGTCCAGGAGCGGGCGGCCGCCGGGCCTGCCGGTCCGCTCCCGCAAGCTCCGCGAGCGGCGCGGCCAGATAGAACGTCATCCAGTCGCGGAAGAACGCACGATTCGCCCGTTGCACCGGCGCTCCGCCACCGACCGCCAGGACGGTCCGTTCCGCGCCGCTCAACCTGTGCAGCGCGGTCGTCTCCGCCGCCCGGAAGCCGGCTCGCCGGCGGCCGCGAAGATCTCGCGGAATGGTTCGCCCCTGTTCCTCCTCGATCAGCCGATCGAGGTCGACGAACCGCCATTCCAGCGCCACCGCCAACGCCACGCCGACCGACGACTTGCCGGCGCCCATGAAGCCGATAAGCGCCACCCGCGTGGCTTCACCCGTGGCCGGCGCTGGCGCCCGCGCACTCGACGCCGGGTCCCGGCCCCGCGTCGGTCCGGTGCCGTCGGCCACGGGTGGCAGACTACGCATAGTAGCGATCGATGCCGGCTCGATCAGGGCACGATCACCCGCTGGTGTCGGTGATCATCCCCACCCATGACCGCCACGCACTCCTGATGGAGGCGATCGACTCGGTGCGCGCTCAGACCTATGCACCGATCGAGCTGATCGTCGTGGACGACGGGTCGACCGATGGAACCTCGGAGCGGCTCAGTGGGGAGCCCGGCGTGCGACTGCTCCGTATCGACCACACCGGCTGTCCCGGAGCGGTACGCAACGCCGGCGTGGCGATCGCGACCGGAGACCACCTGGCCTTCCTCGACTCCGACGACCTGTGGATGCCGGACAAGCTGGCCGTGCAGATGGAGCTGCTGCGCGGGCGTCCCGAGGTTCCGATCGTCCACTGCCGGGAGCACTGGGTGCGCGGCGGCCGGACGGTGTCGCAGGCCGATCAACGCCATCGGCGCGACGGCCGCCTGTTCGCGGACGCGGTCCGCAAGTGCGTGATCGGACCGTCCACGGTGGTCCTGCACCGCGCCGTCCTGCGGGAGGTCGGCGGATTTCGCGAAGACCTGGAGATCGCCGAGGACTACGAGCTGTGGCTGCGGGTGACCGCCCGGTTCCCGGTCGCCTATTGCGACCGGCCCCTGGTGACCAAACGCGCCGGCCACGGCGACCAGCTATCGGAGCGGTACGGCCAGATCGAGCGGTTTCGCATCGCCGCCCTGGCGCCGCTCGTGGCGGCCGACCGGTGGGCCGAGCCGGAGCGGACCGTCGCGCGGCGGGAACTCGCGCGCAAGTGCCTGATCCACGCGGCAGGCGCGCGCAAGCGTGGCCGGCACGCCGAGGCCGAACGCTACGATGCGCTGGCGGCCGAATCGTCGCCCGACGTTTCGCCGGCGGCACCGGCGGCGCTGAATGCCTCGATCTCCGCCGCCAGCTCCGGATCGCGCGCCGCATACTCCAGGATCGAGCGCAGGTAGCCGGCCGGCGCGCCGATGTCGAGCCGGCGGCCGGCCATGCGCTGGATCACGACCCGCCCCTGCCGCGCCAGCTCCTCGACCCCCTCCGTGTAGTTGAACTCGCCACCGCGGTGGCGCTCCCAGCGGCGCCTCAGCGCCGGGTAGATCTCCGGCGTGTACAGGTAGCGGCCGATGGAAATGTCGCGGCTCGGTTCCATGCCCGGCGGCGGCTTTTCCACGATGTCGGTCACGTGCAGGCCGTCGTCGGCCAGCGCCACCACGCCGTAGCGTTCCAGATGCGGTGGATCGTGCTCGACGGCGAGCACGCTGCAGCCGGTCCGCTCGTAGGTGTCGATGAGCTGCCGCGCGAGCGGCGGGTCGCCGATGTGCAGGTCATCGGGGAACACGACCACGAACGGGTCGTCGCCGGTGAACGGCTCGGCCAGCAGGATCGCCTGGCCCGTGCCGAGCATCTTCTGCTGGCGCAGGAAGAAGAACCGCCCCGGCGGCACCGCGATCGCACGCTGCTTGGCGGCGGCGCCCTCCGATGCGAACACCTGCTCCAGCTCCAACTCGCGATCGACGTAGTCCTCCAGGGCGCGCTTGCGGCGAGACGTGATGAACAGGATGTCGTCGATCCCCGACTCCCGCAGCTCCTGTAGTATGAAGTCGATCGCAGGTCGGTCGATGACCGGAAACATCTCCTTGGGTACCGTCTTCGAAGCCGGCAGAAACCTGCTGCCGTACCCGGCAGCGACGATCACCGCTTTCATGTGTGCCTCCTGGAGTGAACGATGACGACCGTCCCGCGGGCTGTCCTGGCGCTGGTCGTGGGCGCAGCGCTCGGCAGCCTGCTCCACCAGCCGCCGGTCGCCGCCGTCGTGCATACCGCCGCGGTCCTGGCGGTCCGAGCCGTGCAGGTGTTCGTCTTCCCGATGGTGTTCTTCGGTCTGGTGGTGGGCGCTCGCGAGCTGGGACGCAGCGGTGCCCTCCGCACCCATGCATGGCTGATCGCGGGGCAGGCAGCCGCTACGGTATCGCTGGCGGCGCTGGGCGTTCTGTCGGTGCTCGCAGCGTCACCCGATCGAATTCCCATCATCGTCGTCGACCGCGCCGCCGCCCGTGCCGAGCTTCGTCGAGCATCTGCAGCAGGCGCTGCCGACCAATCTCTTTGCGGGTCTGGCAGGCGACGGGGCGCTGTTGCTCCCAGTATATCTGATCGCCCTGGTGCTCGGGCTGAGCATCCCGGACGACCGCGCGAGCCGCCCGCTGATCGAGCTCACCGAAGCCCTGTCCCGGCTGTTTTTCCGGATCAACTCGTTCATCACCGCTCATCTCTGGGCCCCGCTGCTGCTCGGCAGCGCATCGCTGGCCGCCGCGCTGGCGGCGGGAGTCGGCCCGTACCGAGAGTTGCTGCTGGTGGTGGTGATCGACCTTGCCCTGGTGCTCGGGCTGCTGTTGCCGGGGTGGCGCTTTCTGCGGCGGAAGCGGGCGGACCTGCCGTCCCTGTCCGCCCTGGCCGTACCGGTGCTCACGGCGGTCGCCACCGGCCATCATCACGCGGCGTTGGCGTCGTTGGCCCGGTACGCGACCGCGGACTTGCGGATCGCGAACCGCCTGGGCAGCGCGGCCTTCCCGCTGTTCGCGATGTTCGGGCGCGCCGGGAGTGCCATGGTCGCGGCCGCCTCGTTTACCGTGATTCTCCGTTCCTACTCAAGCATGTCGCTTGCCGCCGGTGACGTACTGTGGATCATCGGCGCCGCGTCAGTGACCGCCTTCGCCCTGGCGGCTGCACCCGGCGGCGCCGTCGCCGCTGCCCTGGCGCTGCTGGCCGCTGGCTACGGGCGCGGGTTGGAGGAGAGCTACCTGGTGGTCGACCCGGTGCTGCCGTTGCTGATCGCGATCGGCGTGGCGGTCGACGTGGTGATCGGCGGCGCGATCGCCGTCGCGGTCGGCGCGCGTGAGCGCCTGCTCATCGACCCGCGGCCGAAGCGCGCTCAGAGGTAGCGCGGCTCCGGCCGGTCGACCTCGCGGAGCTCCGGCTCATAGCGCTGCGGCCGCCGGCCGAAACAGACCCCCATCTCCTCGTACAGGCTGACGATGGCCAGATCGACATGATGCTGCTCAATGGCCGTACGGGTGGACACGTAGGAGACGGAATGGCCGTCGACCCAGCTCACCGTCGCCCCCGAGATCCCGCCCAGCAGCAGCAACACGGCCCCGGCGCCGATCTGCTTGCCGAAGCCCACGTCGAATGCGGACGTGGTGCCGGCGCGCACCAAGTGCGCGGGCACTACTTCGCGCGCCTCGGGGGCTTCATGGAGCCCCGGCACGTACATCCCCAATTCCCGCATCGCCTGGTGGATCTCCCGATCGTCGTCGAGTCGCGACTGGATCTGGTCACGGACGTAGCGCCCGGCACCGGCGAGCTTGCGGTGACCGAAGGCGTCGGCGGCGACGCTGTCGTCGGTAACCGTGCCCCCGTCGGCGGTCGTCATGCCTTCTGCCACCACCACCGTGTAGGTCGCGGAGAATCCACCCGCGGCGCGCAGGCGACCGACCAGCCTGCGCTTCAGGTGTTCGTGCACGACATCGAAGTCGACCGGTATCTCCGGCAGCAGGATGCAATCGGCGTCGGCCGCGACGCCGCCGCGCAGCGCGACGTGACCCGCGTAGCGACCGAACGCTTCGGTGATCATCACCCGGTTGTGGCTTCGCCCGGTGGACTTGAGGTCGTCGACGAAGCGCGCGATCCGGTTGACCGCGGTATCCCCTCCGACCGAGTAGGTCTGCAGGTCCAGGTCGATGGTCTTGGGCGCGTGCACGACCGGAATTCCCCGGCCTGCCAGGTCGACAACCACCGAGCCGGTATCATCGCCCCCTGCGATCACCAGGCCGTCGATCGAGAAGCGCCGCAGTCCGGCGATGATCCGTTCGTAGCGCTTCTCGTCAGGGATCGCGGCGATCTTGATGCGGGAGTGACCAGCCACCGACCCGGCTTTCGTGCAGTCGATCGCGTCGCGGCGGTCCGCATCCAGCGCCGTCAACTCGGTGAGTTGCTCCAGGTTGTACAGGCCGGCATATCCGTTGGGGATGATCCAGGCTCGCACGCCGCGCGCTTCGGCCATCGCCGCGGCGCCGACCAGCAGCGCGTTCAGTCCAGGTGCATCACCCCCACTTGGTGAGCAGGCCGATGTTCCGCATGTCCGGACAGGCAGACTACGGCAGCACCCTGGCTGCCTGCACGACCATTCCGACGCCGACGGGGAGCAGCAGGTTGTCGAGGTCGCGCCCCGAGAGCGCCTCGATCGTCATGGCAGCGATGGCCACAACGGTCGAAAGGCGCACGTCGGCGGTCAGTGTGAGCGTGACCAGAAACACCGCGACAAAGCAGGCCAGGCTTGCCGGCGACGGTCTTGTTCCGGTTCAGCGGCATACGCCACCCCGCGAACGCCATGCCGATCAGGCTGGCGGCCGCGTCCCCGAACGCGAGGGCGTAGATCGCGATCGCCGATGCCGGCAAGGGGTACAGCAGCAGCGCCAGCATGGCGCCCAGCCCCAGCGTGACCGGTCCGAGGACGAAGCCCGTGTCGCGCGGCCGCGCCGCCGCCACGGTAAGCCCCGACACCACCGCCACGCGGAGCCCGGCCAGGCGCATCCCCTCGGCAGCCGTGTAGAACAGCGTTCCCGCCATCAGAAGCCCCATGGTGAGCGGGAGGTGCACCGATGCCAGCGGCGGGACAAGCGCCACCAGCAAATGGATCGCCTTGCGTATCAGCTCCCGATCGAAACCGTCGGCCACGCCCGCGTGACCCAGCGTCCGAGGTGCAGGCTGCGCGAGCGAAGGAAGCAATCCGAGGATGCGTGACGCTTGCGAGGCTATTCGATACACTTATCGTCCATGGGCGATTAACTCAGCGGGAGAGTGCTACCTTCACACGGTAGAAGTCACTGGTTCAAATCCAGTATCGCCCATACCGCGGTAACCGGCAAGCCGCAACCCCTTGTCGATGCGGCCCTTACGATTAATGCGAGCGCTTGGCCGCGGCGCGGCGACGGCGGCGCGACCCACTCGACCTGCGACGAGCGGCCGAAGTGCGCGCAGAACCGGCCTGCGCAGAACCGACCTGCGCAGAGCCGTCCGGCGCAGAGCCGGCCGGCACGGTGCGCCGTCGCAACACCAGGAACGCCGCGATGCCGGCGGCGATCATGATCGCGGACAGGATCTGACCCGTGCTGAAGTTGAGCAGCGATCATCTGCGACGGGTTCGCCACCTGGACCAGCATGATCGGGAAGTCCAGCCCGGGATCCGGCTGCCGGACGTACTCCACCGCGAAGCGCACGACCCCGTAGCCGATCAGATAGGCCGAGAACAGCACCCCCGGGAACGGCGCGCGCTTGCGCAGCACGAACCACAGCACCGCGAACAGCACCAGCCCTTCCAGTGCCGCCTCGTAGAGTTGCGACGGATGGCGCGCCAGGTTCACCAGCACCTGTTCCGGGCCGATCTCGATCCCGGAGCGCTCCGCCATCTCCCGCGCCCATAGCTCCTGTGCCGGAAACCCGGGGGCGTCGGGGAAGACCACCCCCCACGGTACGGCGGTAACCCGTCCGAACAGCTCGCCGTTGATGAAGTTCCCGATCCGGCCGAAGGTGTAGCCCAGCGGGGTGCAGGTGGCGATCATGTCCATCCACTCGGCGACCGGCATCCGCTTGGCGCGGCAATAGAGGGCTACCGCGACGATCGCGCCCAGCAAGCCGCCGTGGTAGGCCATCCCTTGCAGCCCCACGAAGCGCAGCTTTCCGCCCTCGCGCACGAACGGCACGACGATCTGCAGCGGATTGCGCAGGTAGTGCCCGCTCGGATCGTAGATGATGACGGAGATCAGCCGCCCGCCGATCAGCACGCCGATGATCCCCCAGAAGAAGAGGTTCATCACCGTCTCCCTGTCGACCATCAGGTTCCGTTCTGCCATGCGGACACGCAGCAGCCGATAGGTGAGGTAGAACGCCACCAGGTACATCAGGCCGTACCAGCGCAGCGGCAATCCGGGTACGATCTCCGGATTCAGCCAAGTGGGAAACGGGATGTAGCCTCCGCTCATCAGACCGGCATGATAGATTGCATCGCCCGCATTGACACACGCTCCGACCCGCTCCGAGAATCGCAGCCGATCATGAAAGGCACCGAGCCGGGCCAGACCAGGCTCGGGTTCCGCCGGGCGTTCTGGTTGACCGCCTCCGTAACCACGCTGTTCGCCTGCGCCCTGCTGGTCCTGGCACCACAGGTGCTGGCGCAGAACCGCTCCAGCGAATCGGAACGGGCCATCGCCATTCTGCGCGACGTGTTCGAATTCGGCGGCGCAGCTACGTCGACGCCGACGCGGCCGGCACGGACCAGCTCCTGAAAGGAGCGCTCAAGGGGATGTTGGAGGCGGTCGACGATCCCTACACGGAGTTCGTAGACCAGGACGGAATCGACAAACTGAACGACATGACCACCGGTGAGTTCGGTGGTGTGGGCCTGTACATCGACACCGTCGACGACGGCGTGCTGGTCATCGAACCGTTCCCCGGATCGCCGGCGCACGCCGCCGGAATCATCGCCGGCGATCTGATCGTGGCAATCGACGGCACCCAGGCCGGCGGCCTGAACGAAGCCGGCGTAGTGTCGCGCCTGCGCGGCTCGCCCGGGACGGATGTCCACGTCTCGCTGGTCCGCGCCGGCAGCGAGACCTTGGACGTCACCGTCACGCGCGATCTGATCGAGGTCCCCACCGTGCGGCACGCGCTGATCGAACCCGAAATCGGCTACCTGCGGGTCAGTCCTCAATTCACCAGCAAGACCCCGGATCGGATTCGCGAGGCGCTGAGCGACCTTGCAGGGCCGCTCGCGATCGCTGATCCTCGATCTGCGCGGCAACCGCGGCGGCCTGCTTTCCGCCGTCGTCGAGATCGCCGATCTGTTTCTGGATTCGGGCACGATCGTGCAGACCCGCTCGCGCATGGAGAGCGAGAACCGGGACTACACCGCGACGCGCCGCGCCACGGTGATCGACCCCGACCTGCCCATCGTCGTGTCTGATCGACGGCGAGTCGGCCTCGGCCGCCGAAATCCTGGCCGGAGCGCTCAAGGACCACGAACGCGCCTATGTGATCGGCCAGGAGAGCTACGGGAAGGGCTCGGTGCAGCAGGTCATGCGCATCGAGGACGATCGCGCCGTCAAGGTCACCACCTCCCGCTACTTCACCCCGGATGGCACCAAGATCGACGGCGTCGGCGTCCTGCCCCACCGCATCACCGAGCCGAAGCTGAGCGAAGACGATCGGAAGGCGTTGGAGACGCTCGTAACGTCGGAGCTGCTGATCCGGTTCGCGCTCGAACATGCGGAGCCGACCGAAGCGGAGATAGGCGAATTGATCGCTGAACTGAGGAGCAGCCACCCCTATCTGCGCGGCACCGACGTCGTTCTGGAAGAGCAGATGATCCGCCGGCAGCTCGCCCGCAGCATCGCGAGGATCCACCGCAAGACACGCGATCTACGATCTGGTCAACGATCCGTCGATGATCGAAGCGGTGCGGTTGCTGCGCACCGGCGAGGTCAGCGCAGACTCCTTTCCGGACGACGCCAAGTCCGAAGTTCCCGACAGCGCCGCCGCCGACTCCAGCCCGGGGGGTTGGTCGGGATGACCGCGTCCGCCGGCGCCACGTCCGACCGCCACCGGTCTCTGCCCTGAGTGCAGCAGTTCGTCATCCCTCACGACGCGCTCGTGGCCGCCGGGCCGAGCGAGGCGGTGATGCACACGGCGGTGCTGACCGGAGAGGACTTCCACTACTTGGCGCATGTCCGGCGGCTGGGCCCCGGCGACACCATTCCGGCGAGTACGCCGGACGGCTCGCGCTTCGCGATGACCGTCCGGGAACGGGGCCGCGACCGGCTGTCCGTCACGCTGCGCCCGATCGGTGATGGAGCAGCGCCGCCGGCCTTGCCGATGACCGTCGCCCAGGCGGTCGTCAAGCCGGCGGCGATGGATCTCATCGTCCGGCAGGCGACCGAGCTCGGCGTGCGACGCATCGTCCCGGTGCTGACCGAACGATCGATGCCGGCCAGCCACGCGCATCCGCGCCTGCCACGCTGGCAGCGGATCGGACGCAGCGCCAGTCAGCAAAGCGGCCGCGGACCGCTGCCTGCGATCGAGGCGCCCCGCAGCCTTGCGGATGTTCTGCAGGCGACTCCGGGCACAGCCGGCAAGCTGGTCTTCCAGCCTCCGCCACGCGGGGATGCGGATATCGACCTGCCGGATGCGCTCGATCCGGCCCACCCGGTCTGGCTGCTGCTGGGCCCGGAAGGCGGCTTTGCCGGCCCGGAGCTTGATCACATCGCCGGCGCGGGCTTCCGCCGCTGCGCGCTGGGAGCCACCGTGCTGCGGGCGGAGACCGCAGTGGTAGCGGCGGTCATGGCCGTGCGCCTTCTGTGGCATCGAGCCGCGCCGCAGCCGCAGCCGGACCTGGGAGAAGCGATGCGGTGATCACGATCCTGCTGGTCGACGACGATCCGCTGATCCACGACACGCTGGCCTGCCATTCTGCCGGCCGAGTACCGTGTGGTCGGCGCGCGCACGCCTCCGCAGGCGCTCGAACGGCTTGAAGCCGAGCAGCCGGATGTGGTCCTGATGGACGTCGCACTCGGCTCGGCCAACGGAATCGAGGTGGTCCGTCAGGTGAACGCGCGCGCGGACGCACCGCCGGTGGTGATGATCAGCGCCCACGACGATCGTCGAGCTTGTGGTGGAGGCCATGCGTGCCGGCGCCATCGACTACCTGATCAAGCCGCTCGCGCTCGACAAGCTGCGCGGCACGGTTCGGCAGGCGGTGGCGATGCGCCGGCGGCCTGCTGCCGCCGCCATGGAGGGTCTGATCGGCTCCAGCCCACAGATGCAGCGTGTCCGCGACGAGATCACGATCTACGCGCCGGCCCACGCATCGGTCGTGGTCTCCGGCGAGAGCGGCGTCGGCAAGGAAGTGGTAGCCCGCAACCTGCATGAGAGCTCGCCGATACGGCAGCCCGTGGGTCAGCTGATCAACTGCGGCGCCATCGCGCCGACCATCATCGAGTCAGAGCTTTTCGGCACCGAGCGGGGCGCCTTCACGGATGCCACGCGCCGCCCCGGCTGCTTCGAGCGCGCCGATCGGGGCACGCTGTTTCTCGATGAGATCTCCGAGATGGGAAACGATCTGCAGGTGAAGCTCCTGCGGGTATGGAAGCGAGGGAACTCACCCGTGTCGGGGGCACGCGCACGATCCCCGTCGATGTGCGCACCATCGCCGCCAGCAACGCGGTTCTTTCCGACCTGATGGCGGCCGGCCGTTTCCGCACCGATCTGTACTATCGGCTGGGCGTGCTGCTGATCCACGTGCCGCCGTTTGCGCGAGCGACGCCAGGACATCGTGGAGCTGGCGTATCACTTCCTCCCCTCGGAGCTCCGCCTCACTCCGCAGGCGACGGCCAAGCTCGAAGAGCACCACTGGCCCGGCAACGTGCGCGAGCTGCGCAACGTCATCGAGCGCGCCAGCCTGTTGGCCGCCGCACAGCCGGCCGACCGGCGCACCGTGGACGCGAGCGCGATCAGAGTCGGGTTCTAGCGGATGCGCAAAATTGACCGGGCTCGGCGGCCGTCGCTATACTTGCCGCGTCGTGCCGAGCGTCCACCCCCAGCCCGTGACTGAGCAGTTGGCCGTCGGGAGCGACCTACGGACGGCCGGCTTCGCGCTTCAACTGCATGAGATAGATGGCGCAGAAAGCGGCGTGGCGCTCCATCTCAGCGGCAGGATCGGTCCTGACAACGTCGAGCTGTTCCGTGATCGCACCGACGCGGTGGTGGCAGCCGGGTTCCTTCGGCTGATTCTGGACTGTGCCGCACTGCACACGCTGTCCGGCACGGCGATCGGGGCGTTCGCCGCCCTGCAACGAAGGCTGCGACTGCGCGGCGGCGACCTGGTCCTGCTCAGACTGCAGGAGCCTGCGCACGAGCTGTTTCGGCTGCTCGGATTTGCAGACCTGCTCACCGTCGCCACGGAGCTTGAGGAGGCGGTGTCCCGCCTCGCCTCGCCCGATCAGACCGCACCGGCGGTCCTCTTCCCGCACGTGCTGGAATGCCCCGCGTGCACGACCAGGCTTCGCGCCGTCAAGTCCGGTCGGTTTCGCTGCTCGAGCTGCCAGGCGGTCCTGGCAATCAACAACGGCGCACAGGTATTCGCAGCATGACCCGTCAACGAATCGAAAGTTTTCTCCGCACGCTCGGGCTGTCATTCGACGAGCTGGACAACGACACCTGGGTGATCAACGACGAAGAACGGGGGGTCGAGAACGTCATCGTCGTTCACGAGGATCCGGTGGTCATCTTCCGGCTCAAGGTCACCGACCTGCCGCGGGGCGACCATTGCGCGCTCTACGCGGAACTGTTGCGCCTGAACGGCACCGACCTGCTGCACGGCGCCTATGCTCTGGAAGGGAACGGCCTGGAAGGAACTCCGTCGTGCTGATCAACACGCTGCTCAGCGAAACGATCGATATCGAGGAGTTTCAGGCAACTCTCGACGCGATCAGCCTGTCGGCCGCCGAGCACTACGAGCGGCTCGTGCCGCTGGTGAAAAAAACGGGGAGCGACTGATATGGGCCTGTTCGATCGGTTCCGCAGGGTCGTCAAGTCGAACATCAACGACATGATCAGCAAGGCGGAGAATCCCGAGAAGATGCTCACGCAGCTGATCGAGGATATGAACGGTCAGCTCATCGAATCCCAAGAAGGCGGTGGCCAGCGCCATCGCCGACGAGAAGCAGCTCGAACGCCAGCTCCTGCAGCAGCGGGCGCAGGCCGAGGACTGGGAGAAACGCGCCGTCCTCGCGGTGGGTGAAGGAAAGGACGAGCTGGCAAAGCGCGCTCTGGTACGCAAGCAGGAGCTCGGCGAATACGTCGCCAGCTACCAGGACCAGTGGCAGGCACAGCGCGATTCGGTCGAGCAGCTCAAGGGATCGCTGCGCGATCTCACGCAGAAGATCGAGGAAGCGCAGCGCAAGAAGAACATCCTGATCGCCCGCGCCAAACGGGCCGAGGCGCAGCAGCGTATCCAGTCCACCCTGAGCACATCCCGCGATACCTCCGCGTTCGAGGCGTTCGACCGCATGGCCAAGAAGGTGGACCAGATCGAAGCGCAGGCGGATGCGGAACGTGAGATCAACCAGATCGACACCGGCGACAAGGCGCTCGAAAGCGAGTTCAAGCAGCTCGAGAGAGGCGACACGTCGGCGGACCAACTGTTGGAAGACCTCAAGAAAAAGATGGGGCAGATCGAGGACAAGTCCTCGGAGAGCGCAAGCCAAGGTACGTCGGGCGGCTGACGAACCGACACGCCGAAGCGGCCGGCGGCCGGGCACTGCCGCGCGTCTGCCTGATCACCCCGTCCGGCCTCCTGGGCGCGCGCCTGGATGCCTATTCCCGGCGGATCGCGGGGTTTCGACTCGAAATTATCGCGGAGCCTCCCGCGCCGCGCGAACCGCGCTATGCGGCCGTGGTGATGCCGGCCGACGTCGCCGAGCGACTGCTCACCGGACCGATCCAGCCGGCTTGTCCGCTGATCGCCTACGGGCCGGAAAGCGAGCTGCCGCGCCTGTTCCTGGCCGGATGTACCGACTACCTGCGCGATCCCTGGACGCCGCAGGAACTGGAGCTGCGCGTGCTGCGTGCCCTCCACGCCGCGGAGACGGCCGCCCGCTTCGGTGACGGCGCGCGCTGCGGCTGTCGGGCCGGGTGCTGTCGGGACCGGTGGGCAGGGTCGGCCTGGGAGCTCAGGAAGCCGAGATCCTGCGCATGCTGCTGGCCAACCGCGGTTCCACGGTGACCCGCGACGCCCTGTTCTACGCGATCTGGGGACGGCCGCCTGATCGGCGCAGCCGCGCCGTGGACATGCACGTCACCGCGTTGCGGCGCCACCTTGCAGCGGTGGCGGAGCCAGCGGAAACCACCCGGCCCACGGCCGGGCGGCTGATTGCCACGGTACGCGGTCGGGGCTACCGCCTCGACTAGCGCCCTCTCCTACGAAAAGATCCTGATGAACAGGTCGTTGAGCGCGATCACCGTGGTCACGAACACGATCGAGACCATCGACATCAGCTTCAGCAGGATGTTGATCGACGGCCCGGACGTGTCCTTGAAGGGGTCCCCTACGGTGTCGCCTACCACGGCCGCCTTGTGCGCATCGGATCCCTTGCCGCCGTGCGCGCCGCCCTCGATGAACTTCTTGGCGTTGTCCCAGGCGCCGCCGGCGTTGGCCATCATGATGGCCAGCACGAATCCGGACGTCAGCGCACCGGCCAGCAGCGCGATCACGGTGAACGGTCCGAAGATGATCCCGGTCAAGATCGGCGCAATCACCGCCAGCAGCGACGGCACCACCATCTCACGCTGCGCGCCCTGGGTGGAGATGGCCACGCAGCCGGCGTAGTCCGGGCGCTCCGTGCCCTCCAGGATGCCCGGCTTCTCACGGAACTGCCGGCGCACTTCGTTGACCATGTCGCCCGCGGCGCGGCCCACCGCGCGCATCGACAGCGACGAGAACACGAACGGCAGCATGGCGCCGAGGAACAGTCCGATCAGGATCTTCGGGTCCAGCAGATTGATGTTCATGACCACGTCGGTGACGTGGCCGTCGGCCCCGCGCACGATCTCCACGACGCCGGCGTAGAACTCTCCTCGAACAGGGGCGAGATATCGAGCTGTTCGAACGCCTCCTTGATCTTGTTGCCGTACTCGGCCAGAAGCGCCAGCGCGGTGAGCGCGGCGGAGCCGATCGCGAACCCCTTGCCGGTCGCGGCGGTGGTGTTGCCCAGCGAGTCCAGCGCGTCGGTGCGCTCGCGCACGTGCGGCTCCATCTTGGCCATCTCCGCGATGCCGCCGGCGTTGTCCGCCACCGGTCCGTACGCGTCGGTGGCCAGGGTGATGCCGAGCGTCGACAGCATCCCCACCGCGGACAACCCGATCCCGTACAGACCGAGTCCGGGGGTGGCTGCCCCGCCCGACAGGAAGAAGGCGGCGAGCGTCGCCCCGATCACGGTGAGCACCGGGATCAGCGTGGAGAGCATGCCCAGGGACATGCCGGCGATGATGGTGGTAGCCGGGCCGGTGAGCGCCTCGTTGGACAACAGTTGCGTGGGCTTGTAGTGGTCGGAGGTGTAGTACTCGGTGAAGTAGCCGATGATGTTGCCGGCGATCAGCCCGACGATCATCGCGGCCCAGATGCCCAGGAACTCGCTGCCGAGCGTCAGGATCACCAGCAGGAAGGAGCCGATCGCGATCAGCGCGGTCGATCCGTAGGTTCCGCGCCGCAGCGCGCCGAGCAGCACCGCCTGGCTGGCGTCGCCCTTGGCGCGCACCACGAAGGTGCCGAGGATGGAGCACAACACGCCGATGGTCGCGATCGAAACCGGCACCTGAATCGCCTGCAACGCCGTTATCGAGTCCAGACCGAGCGAGGCGACCGCTCCCAGCGCCATGGTGGCGATGATCGAACCGACGTACGACTCGTACAGGTCGGCGCCCATGCCGGCCACGTCGCCGACGTTGTCACCGACGTTGTCCGCGATCGATGCCGGGTTGCGCGGATCGTCCTCCGGGATGCCGGCCTCCACCTTGCCGACCAGGTCGGCGCCGACGTCGGCGGCCTTGGTGAAGATGCCGCCGCCCAGGCGGGCGAACAGCGCCATCGCGGAGGCGCCCATGCCGAAGGTGATCATGATCGGCGGGATCTCCTCCGGCGCGACGTCGAATACCCCGTACAGCAGCCACCACCAGATCGAGATGTCCAGCAGCCCCAGGCCGACGACGGTCATGCCCATCACCGTTCCGGAGGAGAAGGCCACGCGCAGGCCGGCGTTGAGGCTCTCGCGGGCACCCCAAGCGGTGCGCGCGTTGGCGCGGGTGGCAACGGTCATGCCGATGAAACCGGCCAGCGCGGAGAAGAACCCGCCGGTGATGAACGCGAACGGCACGAAGCCGGACAGCAGGCCCAACCCCCAGGAAATCACCCCCAGGATAGCGAACAGCACCACGAAGAAGATCGTGACGACCTTGTACTGCTGTTTCAGGTAGGCGATCGCCCCCTCCTGCACGGCGCGGCTGAGTTCTTTCATGCGTTCGTTGCCAGGTTCCTTGCGCAGCACGGCGAGCGCCAGGATCAGCGCGAAACCCAGTGCGGCCACGGAGCCGATCCAGGTGACCCACATCATGTCGGGGCCCTCCTCGTTCGCCTGCCCGGCAGCGGTCACGTCGGCAAAGCCGATCGCGGGCCGGAAGCACGGCTAGGGCCAGAATGAGCAGTATGGAGAAGATGCGTCTCATCGAATGTCCTTGCGGAAAGGTTTGGCAGCGTCGCGCCGGGCAACGCTACTACAAGTATAGCACCATCATAGCGAATCGGCAGCCACCCGTGCAGCGGCCCGACTTTCCCTCCGGCCCGACACGCCCCTAAGATGGCCGCCGTGGCCGCGAACGAAGCACCGCTCCTGCAGTCGCGCATCACGCTGCGCTCCAATCCGCGCGCCCTGGTGCCGTTGCTGCTGCCTCCGGTGCTGATCGCGGCCCTGGTGGTCATCGCGCTGCTCGCCGACGCGTGGCCGGTGCTGATCGGGGTCGCGCCGATCGGCCTGATCGGCTACCGCGTGCTCCGCTACCTGCTCAAGCAGTTCCGCAACCGGCTCCGACTGTACGACGACCGGATCGAGCTGGACTTCATGGGCGAGGAGCAGGCCGTCGTGCGCGCTGGACGGAGTTGACCCGCGCCGGGTCGGCCACCAACGGCCGGCGGCGCACCATCTTCCTGTACCAGGCCGACGAGGACCAGCTCGTGGAGCTCTCCGACGAGTTCGAGTCGTTCGACGCGATCCTGGAGGCCGTCCGCGCACGGCACGACTTCGAGGAGGCAAACCTGGTATCTCAGCGGCCGGACATCGCACGTGACGGAACTCTTGTCTGACGCGGATGGGCCGCCGAAGAAGAAGGCGCGAAGAGAGAAGGCGGACGAGCCGCCCGCACGATCCCGCCAGCCGCGAACGACTTAGCGGGTCAGACCGCCGCCAGCTCCCGTTCGCACGCGTTGGCGATCGCCAGCCCGCCGGCGATGCTCCGGTAGTAGTCGAAGTCCTCCACCCGGCCGTGAAATGTCCTGGCCAACCAGCGCTGCACCGGCACGAGCTGCGAGGAACACCACCGTCGCAAACCACCTGGTCGCACGTCATCGCATCGATGCCCGGCCACTGCGTCGAGCGCGCGCCGCGGGCTGCGTCGCGTCGACGCGCGCCATGGTCGGCTCCAGCACCTGTTCCAGGCGCGTGCGCGTTTCGAACGGCAGCAGGTCGACTCCTCCATGCGGTATCTCGGCCTATCTCCGCCTCGGAAAGCTCTGGCCTTGGCCGCCTCCGTCGCGCTCATGAGCGCGTACACGGCGTTGCCGCGGATCAGCTTCAGAGACGGGTCAGTTTGCGGCGGGCGTCGGGACCGGACTGGATGGCGGCGAAGATGCTCTCCATGAGCTCCGGGCGGTTCGACATGTAGGAGGTCTGCCAGTTCAGCAGATAGTCCTGGTAGCGGTAGAACGGAAACACCGAGTCGGGCTCCGACCGGGACAGCGAGCTCTTCACCGCGCACCCCTCGCCAAGTTCGGGAAAAATCACGTCGCGCATGATCTGCTGGTCAATGTGATTGCCGCCGATCGGCAGCCCGCGCGTCGCCACCACCTTGGAACCGCCGCTGCGCGTGGACAGCAGGCACAGGTCCAGCGTGCCGCCGCCAAAGTCGAACGTGAGCAGGTGATCGGGCTGCGTCGAGGCGGAACGCAGATAGCTCAACCCGGCCGCAACCGGTTCAGGGTAGAACATCACGTCGTCGAACCCGGCGTTCTGGCAGGCGGTGGTCATCCGCTTCACGGCGACGTCGTTGGCGCCGTTGCCCCCTACGTAGCGCACCGGTCGTCCGATGTGGATCCCGCGCCCCACGGCGTACCCGGCCCGCTCCAGGACGGAGCGGATCTCGGCCAGGATCAGCGTGATCAGGGCGACGATGTGGAAGCTGCGGTGGAACACCTTGAAGCGGCTCTGCTCGGCCACACCCAGGAAGCTCTTCACCCTCTGAACAGTCGCCCGGGCAGCTCGGTGTCGTCGTAGCCCGACACCTCATGGAGGCGCGTGGTGTCGCCGCGCCCGTGGCCGGCGCGCTGCGATTCGGTCGTGCTGAAGGTCATGGCGATCTGCCCCACCTTGATCCGCTTCAGCCGGACGATCCGCCCGCGGTTGTCGCCGAGGTAGCGGTCGATCGCCCCCGTACCGACCGAGCGCCCCATGGCGCGGTCCAGATACAGCGCCGAGGGCATGATCTTGGGGTTGGCTGCCGGCGGGTCCAGATCGATGTAGGTGATGCGGTCCGCCTCCCAGACGGCGAGCGTGCTGTTGGTGGTGCCAAAATCGAGCCCAATCCCGATCATGCTGCTCCCTTGAGGTGTTCCCTGCGGCTGGTTTAGCTGGATTGCCCTGACGGGTCGTCTGCCGGACCCCGGCTCAGCGTCATCGAGCCACGGAGGCTACCGCATGCTGCCGCACGGCGTCGAGCCGTCACAGCGGTGCCGGAACCGTTGACATCGAGGCGGTTCACTTCCTATCCTGCCGACCCGGCCCGGATGGTGAAATTGGTAGACACGCTAGGTTCAGGGTCTAGTGGCCTAAGGC